GAAATAGCGATAACAAACTTTCAATATCAAAATCAAAGATGGCTGCCTGTCGGCCATGTTGTTTATCCGATCAGTCTCAAAAGTTGCCCTGCACAGCTAAGGACCAAGGGGAACTTGCATATAAAATTTAAGAAAGATCCCTCTGGTACTTCTTGAGAAATACCGATAGCAAGAATTGTTTACGGACAGACCACGGACCACGGACCACAGACGCAGGGTGATTTGAATAGCCCACCATCAAATGATGGTGGGCTAAAAACTACTCTCCTTTCTGCACATTCTACCGCAATGATATATACATATGCAGTAATAGCAGCATGAAAATATATTTTCAGGTATAATTATTAGTCAACATTGCAAGGACTTCGAGCATAACTACAGCCAAATAAATGCTGAACTCCTTGTAGTATTGTTATTGTACATTTACAGAATGCAATTATCAAAATTAAAAATATGAAATCAAGAGGCATATTCATATAAATTAATAGACAACATTACAAAGTTTTTAAGCTTTTCTCGTATATTAGTGTGAATTACTGTACTCAGTACTCATTACTCTGTAATTTGACAATTGTAAATAAGCTTGACTTTAAACATATTTTATTGTACAAATAGGTACAAAGGATTTGGCACAAGTTATAGCAACTTCTGAAGCCATCGCCTATCAACAAAATATGTAATATATATAAGTGACGAAATATATAATTAGTTCTGCATTCTGCAATAGAAGTAATTCAATTTCATGTAAATTGTATCAAATATATATATAGTTTATGTTTCAAATCATCCGCTAGATTTTATGAAGGACTGCACATGACAATTTACATCCAAAGCCAGGTTTTCATTGCCAAAAAGTAACAAATTTCAGGTAATTTTTTAAATTATTAAAAGCTTGCAGCATTACTGCACAAGCATTGGAATAAGTTTGGCACTCAAAAAAGAAATGACGAGTCACTTCTATAATGATGCCCACAATTTACAATAAGAATCCTGATCTAAATTAACACAGAAAGTAAGTCCTTACACAATGCATTAATAAAATACAATGTATCAAAGAAGATGAGACATACCCGTAATGACAGGACCATCCTCTGATTGTCCTTCAACTGGGAGTTTTGATTTCTAAGTTCTGTCTTCAACAGTTCAATCTGTTCTTCAAGGTTTTTCTCCCTTTTCTACAAAATGAAATAGCATTAAACATTTACTTATGATAAGCCAATATCTATACTGTAAAAACTCATGTAATCTGCACAGTTTTTTTGTGTTGAAATTAAGTTTGAATATAGCTAGGGGTGTGCAAATTACATATCTATAGATATTTTCATATTTCTTTTTACAAAGATCAACAATTAGAATGGTCCGCTCTCTTGATAAGCAGGATTTTCACCGGTTCCGTTTGTACACAGAAATTGAAGACAGACCAACATATAACTATATATAGTTATTTATAAACTTAGTCTGTATGTCTTCCTTCTAATGACGTTCTGCCAAGTTAAAACGAAAACTCTGGAATATGTTTCATAATTCTATATAAAATGGAAACAAAGTCATCCTTTTAACAAGTTACCAAGAATGTTGCCAAACATTTTTTACAAACTAGAAATTTGTCTGCGAGACATAGTGCCCTACTTGAACACCTACGGTTATCCTCGATAATCCAGGGGCTATGCTAACCTACGCTCTTTGCACCCCTAGATATGTCATAGAAAAAGTGAAGGAACACGGCTAGTTACTTGATTGGTCACAGGTAAAAAAAAAACTGACCAATCGCTAGGCCGATATACCTGTCCTTTGAAGATTACAGAGGAGCGACACCCGACTTCAAAGCCGGTCAATTTTACCGTTACGTGACCGCGAGATTCATTTGATGTACATCAAAGGATTAAACTAGTCTTCTTGTCTCATCATCAAGATGGCTGACACTGAGCCTTTGATTTTTACACGACATATTCCAGTAAGTAAGCGTAACCACTGCATTATCCAGGATGACCTAAGTTTGCCTCTAACTGACTTGAATTGTCCATGGGTTGTAAATCTTATCTTATCTTATAGGTATCAGCCTATTGATTGTTCAGGTTTTGTCACCTGAGACCAATCAAATGGCAAGCTACGTGCCTTCAATTTTGCTATGACATATTCCAGGGGTGCAAAGAGCGACAGTGAGCGTAAGGTATCAGCCTATTGATTGTTCAGGTTTTGTCACCTGAGACCAACCAAATAGCAAGCTGTGTGCCTTCAATTTTGCTATGACATATTCCAGGGGTGCAAAGAGCGACAGTGAGTGTAAGGTATCAGCCTATTGATTGTTCAGGTTTTGTCACCTGAGACCAACCAAATAGCAAGCTGTGTGCCTTCAATTTTGCTATGACATATTCCAGGGGTGCAAAGAGCGACAGTGAGTGTAAGGTATCAGCCTATTGATTGTTCAGGTTTTGTCACCTGAGACCAACCAAATAGCAAGCTGTGTGCCTTCAATTTTGCTATGACATATTCCAGGGGTGCAAAGAGCGACAGTGAGTGTAAGGTATCAGCCTATTGATTGTTCAGGTTTTGTCACCTGAGACCAACCAAATAGCAAGCTGTGTGCCTTCAATTTTGCTATGACATATTCCAGGGGTGCAAAGAGCGAAAGTGAGCGTTAGGTATCAGCCTATTAATTGTTCAGGTTTTGTCACCTGAGACCAATCAAATAGCAAGCTGCGTGCCTTCAATTTTGCTATGATGTATTCCAGGGGTGCAAAGAGCGAAAGTGAGCGTAAGGTATCAGCCTATTAATTGTTCAGGTTTTGTCACCTGAGACCAATCAAATAGCAAGCTGTGTGCCTTCAATTTTGCTATGATGTCTTCCAGGGGTGCAAAGAGCGAAAGTGAGCGTAAGGTATATCAGCCTATTAATTGTTCAGGTTTTGTCACCTGAGACCAACCAAATAGCAAGCTGTGTGCCTTCAATTTTGCTATGATGTATTCCAGGGGTGCAAAGAGCGACAGTGAACGTAAGGTATCAGCCTATTAATTGTTCAGGTTTTGTCACCTGAGACCAACCAAATAGCAAGCTGTGTGCCTTCAATTTTGCTATGACATATTCCAGGGGTCCAAAGAGCGAAAGTGAGCGTAAGGTATCAGCCTATTGATTGTTCAGGTTTTGTTACCTGAGACCAACCAAATAGCAAGCGGTGTGCCTTCAATTTTGCTATGACATATTCCAGGGGTGCAAAGAGCGAAAGTGAGCGTAAGGTATCAGCCTATTGATTGTTCAGGTTTTGTCACCTGAGACCAACCAAATAGCAAGCTGTGTGCCTTCAATTTTGCTATGATGTATTCCAGGGGTGCAAAGAGCAAAAGTGAGCGTAACCCCATGAGTCTTGAGGGTGGCTAATGTTAGTGGTGTCAATGTTTGCGAATGTTTCCTATAAGACAGATAGGACAGTCCTGAAATCTGATCTGTTAATGAGCAATTAACATTCCTAACTTCTTGTGCACATTTTTTAGATCAGCACACCTGAAATCATTACCATTGACTAATGAAGCTTAAAATATCAAGAGGACAATTCATTGGTTACCAGAACATGAAGCTCCGCCTCCTGTCGCAGTAACGCCTCCTTGTGCCTATGTTCCATTTCCAGCTTCTGAATCTTTTCCTCGGCTCTCTGTTTCTCCTCGCGAGTAATCTCTAGCTCATGCTAGCAAAAAAAAAATCATAAAGGTTAATAACGAGTTAAGCTAACTGTTCAGTTTTGTTCAAAATGATTAGTTGTTATCAAAACCAATTTATAAGGTTTACAGATTTCAATGATATATTACGAATTGTTGGAGAAAACCGGAAAGCATGACTTTCCGTAGACCCTTGAGATTGTGTTTTTGATTTCCCAAAATGAGTTTTGATTCAGTTTTGATTCTTCAAAACTTCAAAAATGAGTTTTGAAGGACAGGGACTTGTACAAAACATCTCAAAGTTGCGGAAAACTTAATTTATGAAATTATTAAATATCAAGGGTCTAATGAAAGCCCTGGAAAAGGAATGTATTTGGTTTTAATAACCTTTTTAAAATGCGGCAAGGTTAAGCTATAATACACAATTTAATTGAATATTGTCTTGTGAAAAGGTGTAAATTTTAAAATGTTAATTATTTCTTTAAAAGTCGAAATTACAATTACCATGTGTTTTTTTGTTTCTTGAGTGGAATGCTTTTTGAAAGGAGGTTGATGTGACAGTTATGCAACATACAACCTTAGGTATCCCTGTCCCAATCACTGTCAGCAAACACCAGAGAACTCCGCTAATTTTTTTCAAACATACAGTTACCTCCCCTTAATTTCATTTTGGACAAGACTGTAGCACCACTTGGCTTGACAATTACTGCTGATTTGGTAGCAACCACAGTTACTGACTGGAGATTCAAATTTTAAATCCCGGTCTGGCTGTATAACTTTTTATCTCTTGTAACAATGTCATGTATTTATTTTTATATATTTTTTGGAGCAATTTTGTTGGGGTTTTTTTCCTCTTGGAACAATGTTATTATTTTTTTAACCCCTTGGAACAATGTTACTATTTTTTTAACCCTTTGGAACAATGTTACTTTTTTTTACCCCTTGAAACAATGTCACTTTTATTTTACCTCTTGAAACAATGTTAGTAGTTATTTTTTTATCATTTCATCTCAATTTTTTAATTTTGATGAAAGTTTTGCAATGTAAGGGCTTCCCTTCAAAAAAACATTATATGACCGTTACGGTCAAGCAGGTAAAAATCATTTCCAATTCATAGCTACAGTTTTTGGCAGTGGTGTGGGTCTCCTTAATTAGGCACTTCATATATATATATTTCTGTACCGAATTGAAGTTTTACGAGGTAATCTAAGCTTGACTACCTGCAATGCCTCCTGACGCCGTTTTACAGTAACATCGGACACAAAGCCGCGGGCTGCTAGCTGTTCCTTCAACATCGCTTCCTGTCTGTATTTCAAAGAAAAAAAATGAATGCCGACGTGGAAGAAAAGAAAAACTCAAAATCAAATTGATAAAATGACCAATGACAAATTTCTAACAAAGGACAGATTAATACAGAAACCATTAAGAAGTACAAAGCAAATAAGACCAGGTGTTCCAGAAAGGTAAGGGTCATCTGTCATATTCATTCTTTGGTCATTTCTGACAATCATATCTCTCTTCTAAAAGAAACACTATCTACTACTTTTTTGTTTGTTTGTAAAATGTGATATTTTCATATTATGTTTATAATAAGAATTCATTCTTTTAAATCCATGAGAAATCACTGTACTTCCTAAAAGGGAAACATACCCCTGATTCTGGGGCTGGCCCCTCAATCGACTCAAGGGTTTCTGGGGCCCAGGAGGGAGGCGGTTCCGGTTCCCGATAGGGGCCGATGACTTACGACTAGTCACCTGGATATTCCTCTTAATAAAGTTACTGGAGTCGCTTAGCTTACGTCTGTGAAATGAATAAATTGAACTTCATATTAAAACTTATGTTATTTTGAAAGAATGTAGTAATACCAAGAGTATATGCATAAAGGTTAAGTTTGTTTTGAACACAAACAGGAATTGAAAACTTAGTTTGCAAGCTTTTGAAAACGTCTGATTCCTTTGTCAAGCAAAGAGTGTAAATGACTGGAGTCTCAACTACATGTATCAACCACTGAAAACAACTCTTTTTGCCTGGCAAAGGAAACAGACCTTTTCGAAAGCTCGCTATGCAAGTTTTCAATTCCTGTTTGTGTTCAAAACTAACAAAGTTTTTATTATTCAAAATAAACTGAAGAATCTTATTCCGAACAAGAGTATGCAGTTTTGTTATAAAGATTATAAACTTTATTTATGATTGTTAGTTAACCCTTTCACCTCTGTAGACTCACCCAGACAAATGTTTGGCAGAGTCTACTAAAGTTTCCTAGGGGTGAAAGGGTTAAAACAATCTTACAAAGAAATTTAGTATAGAATTATACAAATGTATTGTGCCATCAGAAATAATACTTCATGTTTCGAAAAAAAAAATGATGGAGATTTTATTTAAAATCATACAAAAAATTATTTCAAACCAATACCAATATCGTACATAACAAGCAAAGATCTATTCTAATTTAACATCTATTAAACCCCAGGATTCCAGGTCTTGTTTAGAAATACCACTCAAAATGTATCATCAATAATTTGCTCAGAAAAAAATGACTGGAAACTCAAAAAAAAAAAACAGAAAAGATTGAAGTTATACTATTAGGTAACAGGTAGATCTTTAACTTGAATCGCTACAAGTGAAAGCTAAATTACTGCAAACTAAATTTGGTCCAGAAAAAATGTTTCGAGTCTAGGTCTGTTATGAGTCAGAAAAGATATTTGACTCGATCAATTTTGAATTTTATTGACAAATTAACAAAAAGCCCTTGTTACCTATGGCCAGGTACATTTTCCTTTGAGCTGTCAGAGTGGATGCTCCCAGAAGGGAAGTCTACCTCGCTCTCCGTACTATTTGCTGACGTTGATCGGTCCCTGCTCTGCTCTGGAGTTTCAGGCTGTAAATTATTCGAAAAGAATATATACACCTAATGTTACTTTACACTTCTCAGGAGCTTAAAAGATGAAAAGCTAGCAAAATCGTATGAAAAATATATCATTTGGCATTTTGAGACACATATAAACTTTATTTTATTTTGCCAGAATTGCCACAAATATTTGCAAGAGTTAGCTAGTTAATTTATTGCTTAACGGGCCAAAAACGGAGAAATCATATCGGGCCTGACAACAATAATAAGGGACAAATACGAAACTAAATACACCAAAAAGAAACTGAATTGGAAAGGACTAAAAATTGTACAAAGTAAAAATGGTCAGATATTATTATATAGAGAATTTTCTAAATTTCACCAATTTCATGGTATTTATAAACCAATTTCGTGCAGATATTCAATCATCTTTGACAAATTTATCGTATGGAAAAGTGTTTTCATATCGGGCACATCATATTGGTCTCCAATCTGTCTAAATCAGCACGTTTTCATAGGGCTATGAACACTGATGGATCAGTGTTGTTTTTATGCTTTTCATCCCACATTAGATTATATGACACATCATAAACTAGAACACTGACAGGTCAGTAAGGGCCCCGTCTTGTGGCAATATATCCCCCATAATTATCAAGAATGCTTCAAAGTGTCATAATGAAATATTCACCAGCAAAAAAATACTAAATTTGACCTTGACCTTTTACCGAGTGACCTTGACCTTAAGTCAGTTGACTCTTTGTTAAATTCGGACCAACTTTGCTTCATAAAGTCATAACAAAATGTTCATCAGGGAAAAGATACAAAATTGACCGTGACCTTTGACACAGTGACCTTGACCTTTGGTCAATTGACTCCTTATTTAACTCTGAGCAACATTGCTTCAAAGTGTCATACCAAAATGTTCACCAGTGAAAAGATACAAAATGTAACCTTGACCTTTGACCCAATGACCTTGACATTTGGTCAGGTTTACACTTTGTTTATTTCTGATCAACTTTGCTTCATCATGTCATAACAAAATGTTCACCAGTGAAAAGATACAAAATTGAACCTTGACCTTTGAATCTAATGACCTTACCCTTTGACCTCAACTTTTAACCTCAGTGTGTCTCTTTGTTTAATTCCGAACAACTTTGCTTCATGTCTTGAAATGCTCATTAGTGAAAGACTACAAAATTTGACCTTGGCCCCGACCCAATGACTTTGACCTTTGGTCAGTTGACTCCTTGTTTAATTCTGAGCATCATTGCTTCAAAGTGTCATAGCAAAATGTTCACCAGTGAAAAGATACAAAATTTAACCTTGAACTTTGACCCAATGACCTTGACATTTGGTCAGGTTGACTCCTTGTTTAATTCTGATCATCTTTGCATCATCATATCATAACAAAATGTTCATCAGTGAAAAGATGCAAAACTTGACCTTGACATTTGAACCTAATGACCTTGACCGTTGACCTTGACTTTTAACTTCAATGTGTATTTTTGTGAACTGAACATCTTGACCAAGTTTCATGTACATCGGTCAATAAATATCAAAGTTATCAGCCAGGAACAAAATTTGTGGACGGACAGACAGACAGACAGACAGACAGAGTGATTACTATAGGGCACCCGTATCTCCGATACAGGGCCCTTATAAATAACATTTAGGCTGTTCTCAGAATATCGTCAGGACTAATGGTACAGACATTTCCATATCACAAAAAGTAGGGGAAACTTTGAGTTAAATAAGTGGTCATACCAATCAATTATGTATTTAACATTCAATGTGGATTTTAAAAGATGTGTGTCCATGTTAAAGATACTAATAAAGTTTGTTTCAATCCCTATCTGGTGGCTCTTTGTTTATACAATCCTACAGCCATAGAAACAAAGTAACGAAAGCATAGAAACATTTACTACCATCAATATAACACTCTAAAATAAAAAATAAAACTAATTTAAAAAGGAAATAACTATGGGAAGTATAAAAAGTTAAAGGAGAACCCATTTACAGAAAAACTGAAAAAATCTGAGAAACAAAAAGTATCGCACATCTTAAATACCATCATGTAAATATGGAGAAATTACCAGAACCTACTTTTGTTATTAACAATAAACTGTTTTGACAATTTAGTTTTAACTTACCATTGTTTTCTCAAGGTCCTCTGTGATAGGCTTTTTCTGTTTGACTCGAGGGCTCACCGTTTCTAGATTTTTGGCTGAAAACAATTTAATTCATATAATGTCATACCGGTATCTTTAAATTATTATACTGTGTTTTCGGGGTTTGTTGTGAAAACGATTTTATCATTGCCAGCACATGGATAAAATTGAGAGGTCATCGCAGGTGGACTTGAGATTTGATCGCAAGCAGTGTGAAAATGGTTCAAATGACAAACACTGAAAATACTGTTTACCATCTGTATACTACAGTTGTGTGACCGCACAACGCACCAAAACTAGCGTGCGCACATGGTGCATACATTGTTCACAAACCGTGGAATATAGAAACATACTTAAAAATCAAGTTTATATGTTTAAACTCGGAAACCGTATATTGTTAAGCCATTCTTCATTTTACGCCAAGCACGATTGTTGTCGCACAGCATTCATCGTGCGCACAAATGTGCACAAACAATGATCGTCCAATTTTTCATCATTCGCAGTGCATGCACACACCGTGCACAAACCACACATCCTGTAACGTTTTACGATCCCACAACTGTCCGACCTTAAATATATTTCTCATTTCCCAAAAAGTCAATTAAACACTGTATCTTCCAAATGACCTCTAGGCTCAATGGTCATCAAAATCCTCATTATGTGACAACGTAAACAAATCAAAAAATTCTGCGGAGGAATACCATGACACATGCCATTAAGAGGAATACCTCAGACATGTGACACATGTCATTAAGATGAATACCTTAGACATGTGACACATGTCATTAAGAGGAAAACCTCAGACATGTGACACATGCCATTAAGAGGAATACCTCAGACATGTGACACATGTCATTAAGAGGAATACCTCAGACATGTGACACATGTCATTAAGAGGAATACCTCAGACATGTGACACATGTCATTAAGAGGAATACCTCAGACATGTGACACATGTCATTAAGAGGAATACCTCAGACATGTGACACATGTCATTAAGAGGAATACCTCAGACATGTGACACATGTCATTAAGAGGAATACCTCAGACATGTGACACATGTCATTAAGAGGAATACCTCAGACATGTGACACATGTCATTAAGAGGAATACCTCAGACATGTGACACATGTCATTAAGAGGAATACCTCAGACATGTGACACATGTCATTAAGAGGAATACCTCAGACATGTGACACATGTCATTAAGAGGAATACCTCAGACATGTGACACATGTCATTAAGAGGAATACCTCAGACATGTGACACATGTCATTAAGAGGAATACCTCAGACATGTGACACGTGTCATTAAGAGGAATACCTTAGACATGTGACACATGCCATTAAGAGGAATACCTTAGACATGTAACACATGTCATTTAGAAGTATCTGCTGTACCATACCAGGGTTAAGATCCTTGTTGATTTGTATACTAGACATCGAGCTGTCAATCATTTTCCGCGATAATTCGTCATCTGATTGGTCACTTGTGTCATCAGCCTCATTCCCGTCATTTATTTCCCGCTCGCTGTTGGCTAGCTCCTCCTTCAGCCAGCGAGGTACCTGTGATAAAAAGAGTTATCTGTCCATTGTGTTGCAATAATGTGGAGAAAACTTCAAAGAGTAAGAAAATGGTTATTATATATTCACAGCTGGTATGTATTGTTAAATTGCTTTTATTAAACAAGGATTTCAAGACATATATTTACACCAAACTCCAAGAACTCTTGAATTTACCCTCACTATGTAATTTTTTTCAGGAAAATTTTACTTAGAGTCAAAAAAAAAAATGAAATGAATACTGTATACCTTGAAATTTAGGCTGCTGTTTAATTTTCACCTTTTCTGCCACCCACAATATGGGATTTTTTTATGACAGCAATATTGGTACACAGTTTACCCTATACAGTAATTATACACGTGAAGGGTGAGATTTATACTGGCCGAAAATAGATTTTACCACTGAAAGGTGATTATTTGACTGGGCGAAAGTTTCCTGGTATAAAGCAGTGATGTTATAAAGTGAAACATAAGATTTAGACAAAAGTCCAGTACACTTCATTCTGCTTTGCAGATATCTTCTGTCACACACAATCCAAGGTATTCAGAATTACATGGTCAAGAACTGTTTGAGAGATACTGCTAAAAGTAGGGAGAGAAAATCTTTTTCCTACCGTTCCCTGTGTGTCCATTTCGGACGCCTCAGATGAGTATTCGTCTCCTCCCTCGCGACTAGACGCAGAGTAGAGAAGGGCTGTATCTTTAGGTACATTTAGAGTATTACCACTAAATCGTTTTCTGCCAACAACAAAATTATGAAATCTTATATAACACTCACAATTAATGTTTCGTCTTTAATCATGTTTTAATCATTAAGACACGTACACTTAAATGAAACATTCGTGACGAGTTTCATAAAATGAAAAGAAATATGAAATGAAACGAGTGTAAGATCCTTTTTATCACATAATCAAGATTTGTGGCATTTATTCATGTAGAAACAAGCATAGTGTTGTGTGAGCCAGTTCCGGAAATTATGTCTGCCGGCTCTGGAGTTTATACACGCCCCGGGGAGCCTCGTTCCCGTTCTCTGGTCTCTCAACGTGAAACAACAAACACTGTAACTGGAACTGAATGTTTGATGGTTTTGATAAAAACTGCACAAAAATCTCGTACCTGATTCCCCGTTTCTTGCGACTTTTTCGTCGAGGAGGAGGGGCCGACGTCTCTAGCTGCACAAACAGGTTCTCACCATGACAGAAGAAACTGCTGATCGTCAGAGATTCGTCACCAGACTTGCTGATTCTGGGGAGACAATCATTGTAACACAGATATACATCACCATTTTGTAGCACTCTTGTGTTCGTGAAAGTTCAATTTCTGTCAAAACCTTTTTGAGCTACAACACAAATAACACAACTATAGACAAACAAACTTAAGTCTTTCACCACTGTAGACCATAATGGACTCATCCAGATCAATGTATGGGCGAGTCTACTTAAGTTGCATAGGGGTGAAAGGGTAAATGATGATGATGAGAAAGCTGTAAAACCTGCTGCACTGTACAATTAAGGACCAATACAGCTGTTGCTGTTTGGAACAAGATGTATTATGTACTGCCCAGGATAGGTTTATGGTGTTAAGTTCTGTTGGTCTAATGCATAAAACTTTTCCACATCACAAAGCAAAATTAAATGCAAAATCAACACACTGATAAGGATGCACAGCCACTGGACCAGGAAAATGTTGACCACATTTGGTATCTGATGTATAGATTGGTGATGTATCTATGGTTCAAATTTGATTGGTCTATGACCCATTCTTCGGAAGAAACAAAGTAAACCACAAAAAACTTTTCACCAATTGCTACCAAGAGAAATGAAATACCTGTTAACTTTTTCTAACATATTTTGCAGGCCAGATATGTATCACAATCAATGTCCTCCAACTTTTCAAGTGTGTTTTTTTCACAGAAAAATGGTGTTTCTTGTAATATCACATTTGATGTAATATATCCTTTCCCACAATATCACATTGCCTTTAATATCACATTTCCCTTTATATCACATTTCCCTTTATATCACAATTCCAACTGATGACTGTATCATGACAATAAGAGGAATCATCATTGTACTAACTTCATCAGGTGCATAGGAGGGTAGATGATCTCGGATTCATCCTTGTTGACCTCCGTGTCCTTGTCTTTGTCCTTTTCCTTGTCCTTGTCTTTATCTTTACTGTTCTCCCGGCCACTGCTGGCACTTGAGGTTCGCCGTGGCACGCTACCTACAGGGGAGATAACTCTATATTGATTTCAGTCAATTTATAGTTGTTTGATTATCAAAATCTGTTTACTTTTTAGGCATCTCCACAAACCATAATCTACACTTTTCTACATTTGAATACTTTTTAACACTTGGCGAATATGGGTTATTCTGGTGAAGGGCGAAAGTTTGACAAGGGGAACATTCTCTGGTATACAGTATCCTACACATAAGATACAAGATACAGGAAGCTTCATTTAACGTCAAATAAAGTGAACAATTAACATAAGCTCTCAGGAGCTTGTATTTTGACAAAAAGTAAATTGGGGGCTGGGGTGAGGTAGGGCTGCAACAATACATTAACCTGATGATATGATACATATCACGATACTGTGGTCACAATACGATACGTATCATGATGTACATACAGTAAGAGTAGAAGCAAAGAGAACAGATATGTTGCAAATTTTAAATGGCAATATTACACTAGAAATAGATTTGGTCCAAAATGGGCATGAATTTATTAGTTTTAATTAACACAATTCATGTCTTTCGACGTACATGCCAAGCTAGAGCTGTCACTCGCCATGTGAGAACCGATATAAGTAGACTAAATTCAGAAATTACCAAATCTTGAAAATATCGTAGGTGTATTGTAACCTCCCAAAAAAATATTGTGTATCGTACCGTATTCAAAATATCATGATATATCATCGCACGATATATAGACACATATTATGTCAGAAATGTTCCATCGGATACCTACTCAGAGGTCGGAATCCACCTGGCCTAGTAAGACTGCTTGTGTCAGACGGAGTGTTCGGCAGGGAGCTTGGAATTCCGCTGTCTGTCAAACCCTGGGAAAAAGCACTGTCAACACTCTCCTGACGCTTGTGGGTCGAGCCTATCTTAACGTTGTCAAGGCTGCCATCTGTCTTCAATTTGTCAAGGTTGTCTTGGCAACCCTCATCTGTTATACTGGATCCCACGGTGCCTATCAACAATTTACAGAAAATACTTTTGATATCCGACATCAAGAATTTATCAAAAATATTTGTTAAGATAGTTATCTTCAATGATTTATACAGAATACTTTCAAAACTTTGACAATCAAAACTATGACTAGAAGTTAAAGAAGTCACAAAGTCAATAGGAATATAAACAACTGGTAATCAAGATTTTTTTCTACACTTTGGAATGACATTAAGGGGAGATAACAATATATCACTGGAATAATAATGTGTATGGAAGCATACATCCTTAAATATAATAAGAAGAGTAAATTACACACGTTTTAAGCATACTTTTCTATTCCTTTGATACTGTATGTTTCTTTTAATATGTTATTGATTAAAATTACTAAAAGAAATTGGTAAGGGAGACAACTACATATAATAAAAAAATAACATGTAAGGTAGCATATACTTCCTTAAGGTAGAGTGTCTCCCAACTTTTCTACTGTATGCACTTGGCCTTAGATAATTATTTTCTGGCTTATTTTAAATTATTTCCTCTTTTTTCAAACAAAGACATTTTATGCTGCAGGGGCCAACTTAGGGAAATTGGAACATTTCAAAATAATCCCCAGTAATGTTGCAGAAAAGTATACACATTACATTGATATCATGATTGGTAACACAGAGGTTAAGTGCCTGCTTAATGATCAAGAGGTCCAATGGTTGAAACCTCGTAGCAGAGCCTGGATATTTTGTGGAAACGAAATCACTATAAATCATAAGAATGTCAGTCTTTACTGCTTTAGTTAAAGGGGCAAGCTACTCAGCAAGTCAGAAAAAATGCAAAACAAATTGGAACTCTTTTATGTTGGAGATACACCACAGTGTGCAGGGACTTTCTACCTTAATTATGAATAGTGACAACTTACCATCATGGCTGGAGAGTTGACCGGACTCCCTTGTACTGGCTAAACTAGATATACTCGTTATACTGGCTTGTCGGGAGTGTGACGCCGAACCCTTCCTGGGTGTGACACTTTCCATTGCAACATCATCCCTAGTAGCCTCCCTTGGAGTGACACTCTCTAGACGAATGTCGTCCTTGTTAATGATGCTACCATTAATGCTGGAACAGCTGTCATTGTCCTTTACAACACTCGTTTGTGATGATGGGACCTTCGAAATCAATTTTTATGAAATTTAAAAAAAAACAAAAAAAACTGCAATATTCGTTGACGGTTACCATAATTCCACTTCAGTAACCTTTATCTGAAGTTCCCTGAAGCAAAGTTTACTATCGACATTAGTAGTCGCTTCAGTAACCTTTATCTGAAGTTCCCTGAAGCAAAGTTTACTATCGACATTAGTAGTCACTTCAGTAACCTTTATCTGAAGTTCCCTGAAGCAAAGTTTACTATCGACATTAGTAGTCACTTCAGTAACCTTTATCTGAAGTTCCCTGTAGCAAAGTTTACTATCGACATTAGTAGTCGCTTCAGTAACCTTTATCTGAAGTTCCCTGAAGCAAAGTTTACTATCGACATTAGTAGTCGCTTCAGTAACCTTTATCTGAAGTTCCCTGAAGCAAAGTTTACTATCGACATTAGTAGTCGCTTCAGTAACCTTTATCTGAAGTTCCCTGAAGCAAAGTTTACTATCGACATTAGTAGTCGCTTCAGTAACCTTTATCTGAAGTTCCCTGAAGCAAAGTTTACTATCGACATTAGTAGTCGCTTCAGTAACCTTTATCTGAAGTTCCCTGAAGCAAAGTTTACTATCGACATTAGTAGTCGCTTCAGTAACCTTTATCTGAAGTTCCCTGAAGCAAAGTTTACTATCGACATTAGTAGTCGCTTCAGTAACCTTTATCTGAAGTTCCCTGAAGCAAAGTTTACTATCGACATTAGTAGTCGCTTCAGTAACCTTTATCTGAAGTTCCCTGAAGCAAAGTTTACTATCGACATTAGTAGTCGCTTCAGTAACCTTTATCTGAAGTTCCCTGAAGCAAAGTTTACTATCGACATTAGTAGTCGCTTCAGTAACCTTTATCTGAAGTTCCCTGAAGCAAAGTTTACTATCGACATTAGTAGTCGCTTCAGTAACCTTTATCTGAAGTTCCCTGAAGCAAAGTTTACTATCGACATTAGTAGTCGCTTCAGTAACCTTTATCTGAAGTTCCCTGAAGCAAAGTTTACTATCGACATTAGTAGTCGCTTCAGTAACCTTTATCTGAAGTTCCCTGAAGCAAAGTTTATTATCGACATTAGTAGTCGCTTCAGTAACCTTTATCTGAAGTTCCCTGAAGCAAAGTTTATAATCGACATTATTAGTCGCTTCAGTAACCTTTATCTGAAGTTCCCTGAAGCAAAGTTTATAATCAACATTAGTAATCGCTTCAGTAACCTTTATCTGAAGTTCCCTGTAGCAAAGTTTATTATCGACATTAGTAGTCGCTTCAGTAACCTTTATCTGAAGTTCCCTGAAGCAAAGTTATTATCAACATTAGTAGTCGCTTCAGTAACCTTTATCTGAAGTTCCCTGAAGCAAAGTTTATTATCGACATTAGTAGTCGCTTCAGTAACCTTTATCTGAAGTTCCCTGAAGCAAAGTTTATAATTGACATTAGTAGTCACTTCAGTAACCTTTATCTGAAGTTCCCTGAAGCAAAGTTTACTATCGTCATTAGTAGTCACTTCAGTAACCTAGTTTGGTATAAATGGAAGCAAAGCCCTGACAGCGTACAGTCATACCTGTATTAAGAGGTCAGCATTGGGAAACTAAGATGTCTCTTTACAAATGGGGTCTTTTATTCCAGGTTCAGTTCACAATGAAATCACTACATGTACAATAAGTAACATTAAAAGTGATCTCTTAATACAGGTTGTCTGTTTATACTGAAGCATTTTACAACTAAATCACTACCATGGCTAACACTAAAAGAGGTCTGTTAACACAGGCGGTCTCTTTACATAGTGGTTACGTTAGGAGGTTTTACAGTATATGTTTTTTACCTTTTCTCTGCAACTATGGTCCCCAGAAGTACAGCCCATTACATAATTATTGACCATGCTAGTGCTAGACACTACATTAAAACGTATATCTTAACCAGAGGTAGAGGTTAAAATCCCTGTTGACTGAAACGACCACTACACTAACAAGAGGCCCAAGGGCCTTAGCGGTCACCTGAGTTATATCATAGATACTGGTAGCTTTATTTTATTGTTTAAATGTGATGTGGAAATCAGCATGTAAACTAAGTGAAATACAATACTTGTCATGCCATATATCAAAGGATAAGAACTTTAACATATTGGTAAATGTTCCCTGTGGGGCCCTGTAGCCCAGTGGCCCCTAGGGTTGGGGTAGGAATCCCAATTTTACAATTTGAAAACCATCTTTCTCAAGGATGATTCTCACCAAGCAAGATTAATTTCCTGCAGAAAATTGTCAAATTATACCCAAAAGTGTTATTTCCCTATATAAACTATAGTAAATTTTACCCCCTCCCACAGGGAGAGCGGATAGCTTGAGGATCCTAAAGCTCATTACTGACCATGCTAACACGACATTAAAACTTATATCTTAACCAGAGGTTAAAATCCCTGTTGACTGAAACGACTACAACACTAACCTCAGTCTATTTTAAACAAAAGCATTGCTAGAGTGAAACAGTTTATTGTTGACCAGGTTAACCACTACATTTTCCGTTTATCAGTATAGTTCCCAGTACATGTAGTAAAGATCATTTATGAGGTGAATGGCTGACTGAACTAGCCATTGACTTACCTTGAAGCGAAGTCCCCAACAGTCTGTACTAGCTATTACACTTGCCTTGAAGCGAAGTCCCAAGTTGTCTGTACTAGCCATTACACTTACCTTGAAGCGAAGCCCCCAGCTGTCTGACCAGCCACTACATTTACCTTGAAGTGAAGTCCCCAGCTGTCTGTACTAGCCACTACATTTACCTTGAAGTAAAGTCCCTAGCTGTCTGTACTAGCCACTACATTAACCTTGAAACAAAGTCCCTAGCTGTCTCTACTAGCCATTACACTTACCTTGAAACAAAGTCCCCAGCTGTCTGACCAGCCACTACATTTACCTTGAAGCTAAGTCCCTAGCTGTCTGTACTAGCCATTACACTTACCTTGAAGCGAAGTCCCCAGTTGTCTGTACTTGCCTCTACACTAACCTTGAAACAAAGTCCCCAGCTGTCCGACCAGCCACTACATATACCTTGAAGAAAAGCTTAGCTGTCTGACCAGCCTCTACACTTAACTTTAAGCGAAGTCCCCAGCTGACTGACCAGCTTCTACACTTACCTTGAAACAAAGTCCCCAGTTGTCTGTACTAGCCATTACACTTACCTTGAAGCGAATTCCCTAGCTGTCTGTACTAGCCGCTACATTTACCTTGAAGCGAAGTCCCTAGCTGTCTGTACTAGCCATAACACTTACCTTGAAGCGAAGTCCCCAGCTGTCTGTACTAGGCACTACATTTACCTTGAAGTAAAGTCCCTAGCTGTCTCTACTAGCCACTACATTAACCTTGAAGCAAAGTCCCTAGCTGTCCCTACTAGCCATTACACTTACCTTAAAACAAAGTCCCCAGCTGTCTGACCAGCCACTACATTTACCTTGAAGCTTAGTCCCTAGCTGTCTGTACTAGCCATTACACTTACCTTGAAGCGAAGTCCCCAGTTGTCTGTACTTGCCTCTACACTTACCTTGAAACAAAGTCCCCAGCTGTCTGACCAGCCACTACACTTAACTTTAAGTGAAGTCCCCAGCTGTCCGACCAGCCACTACATATACCTTGAAGCGAAGCTTAGCTGTCTGACCAGCCACTACACTTAACTTTAAGTGAAGTCCCCAGCTGTCTGACCAGCCTCTACATTTACGATGAAACAAAATCCCCAGCTGTCTGACAGCCTCTACACTTAACTTTAAGCGAAGTCCCCAGCTGACTGACCAGCCTCTACACTTACCTTGAAACAAAGTCCCCAGCTGTCTGTATTAGCCACTACACTTACCTTGAAGCGAAGTCCCCAGTAATACAACTCATTGTTGATTGTACTAGCTGCTGTATAATGGTCTCCACACTGAACTCTCTGTAAAAATAATGGAAAATGAACTTTGATTAGTAGATGGTTGATATTTATTGTTTTGTATTCCCGCTTCAAATTACATTTTTTTTACCAGCAAAATTCCAAAATTATTCCCTTAATTAAAGCATTACAATTGATCTAGTTATGTTACTACCATAGGTCCGGTTATTTAGTTTAATATAAAATGGTTTGGAAATAAATCAAGACAGCACCCCTTTCCTCTAAATGCAGGGCGTTAATTATTGAGGAAAATAGAGAAAGGGTACCTTGAAATATGTTGTTGGTAAGCACTCTTACCTGGCAATGGTAAACACTAAAGATAAGAGCTAATTTGATGCATTTAACCTTGACTCACTTATATTAACCTTTACTCAAATTTATAATGATCTGACCTTTACTCAAATTTATAACAATTTTACCTTAAGTCACATGTATAACACTGTCAGCCGTATAATTGACCTTGATTCACATTTATAACACTTGCAGTCATAGTTGACCTTGACTCACATTTATAACACTATCAGACATAGACTTGACCTTTACCCATATTTTTAACATTGTCTGCCATATATTTGACCTTGATTCACATTTATAACACTTGCAGTCATAGTTGACCTTGACTCACATTTATAACACTATCAGACATAGACTTGACCTTTACCCATATTTTTAACATTGTCTGCCATAGATTTGATCTTGACTCACATTTGTAACACTGTCAGCTATTGATTTGACCTTGACTCACATTTATAACGCTGTCAGCCATATATTTGACCTTGACTCACATTTATAATGCTGTCAGCCATATATTTGACCTTGACTCACATTTTATAACACTGTCAGCCACATAACTGACCTTTACTCACATTTACAACAATGTCAGACATAGATTTGACCTTAACTCACATTTATAACACTGTCCGTCATATATTTGACCTTGACTAACATTTATAACATTGTCAACCATTGATTTGACCTTGACTAACATTTATAACAATGTCAGCCATAGATTTGACCTTGACCTACATTTATAACACTGTCAGCAATATATCTGACCTTGACTCATATTTATAGCAATGACAGACATATATTTGACTTTGACTCATATTTATAACACTGACAGACATATATTTGACCTTGACCCACATTTGTCACACTATCAGCCATAGATTTGCCCTTCACTCAAACCTATAACACTCACAGCCATTTATTTGACCTTGACTCACATTAATAACACTGTCAGCCATTGATTTGACCTTGACTCACATTAATAACACTGTCTGCCATTGATTTGACCTTGACTCACATTGATAACACTGTCCGCCATTGATTTGACCTGTACAGGAGCACTTGCATCTTTAGTGTTACTGATCCCTAGTTGACCCTCAGTATTGCGTCCAAATGTGAACACATGTCCGGGTTCTACAATGACCGCTGTGTGGTGCAAGCCCATGGTGATGTCCAGCACTTTGTGGCGGGCCAAAGCTCTGACCGGCGTTGGTTCCTTCAGTCCCTCTACCTCCGTCTGGCAAAATTAATGATAGTTTGGTAAAATGATCTATGTTTTTTGTTTTTTTTTTGTCTTTTTTTCTGACATTTTCGGCTTTCATTAAAAGGATTTAGTACAGGATCAATTGTTTTAAATCTCCGAAATACTTGCAGTAAATAATTTCAACAATTTGGAAGACGTGTGGAGAGTCTTAAAGTCATACAGACTTTTCAATACAGTTAATATTTTTACTCTAAAAGTCATACAGACTTTTCAATACAGTTAATATTTTTACTCTGAAAGTCATACAGACTTTTCAATACAGTTAATATTTTTACTCTAAAAGTCATACAGACTGTTCAATACAGTTAATATTTTTACTCTACAGCTTTTAATATTTCCATTTGACTTTTTATTGCGTCACATGATTTAGAAGAGTCACAATTCAGTTGGCTTGAGCACAAAGTTCATGCTTAAGTAATAGAAGGGTTTCATGAATATGGACCCAAGTCACAGACATACCTTGATAAATAGATTTTTCATGGCCATGATGAATCCCTGTCTATGGTTGAGACCAAGCTTGTTGTCAAGGTTACTGCCACAGGCGAACACGCCACCAACGTCTGTACGGAACATTGTGCCATCGACACCACACCGAACCTCACGCACCACAACCGGCTCCACGATGTTTACCTCGGTAGGCTGGCACCTGGTGACAAAAACATGTAATACAGTTATATATAGAAAGGTTTCCCGTTTAATACCACATACTGTAAAAGTGGACTTTTTCGTGGTGTAGAAAAGTATGCTTTTCCCAGTTTTATTAATGACCATGGAATTTTCCACATGCTAATATTTTTTGAATTAAACCTATTAAAATATATAGATTATAAGTATATAGAATGTATAAATTTCCACATCACAAACAGTTAAAGAGTCAAAATGCAAACATGTTTCCACTTTCCCAGTACATTATATATTTCACAAGCATGGCAGAATACTGATATTTTTCAGGAGTGTGAAGCAAGGGTTCAAGTATCGGCATATTTTGCCGTACAAATGAAATATATTACTATTATAAAGTATTCAATTTGGACCCTTCAGATCACCTATTTATTATATTTTAAAACTAACCTACAGTGCTGAAAATGTTATTGATTCAAATAAGTTGGGGACTCAATAGCGTAATCTCTGGGGCTGTATTCTAATGACGTCAGGTTTGACAACAAGTCTGTGCACCATTTTAACTCATTCACCCCTGAAAGTTCATAATGAACTATTCCAACCTTTGAATTGGAAGAGTTCAAATGTGTCTTCATGGGTGAATGAGTTAATGGGCTACTGATCATCACAATTCTAACATTTTCTGCTAAAATATGGTACCATTTGCTTAAAAAAATATATTAGTTGTGTACTTATGTTGATAACTATGAAGTGAATGTATCAAATATCTATAAAAATAACCACTCATTTTACTGTCACATCATATAAAGTTGAACAGAATATATTTGGTTTAGAATACAGTCAATAGAAAACACTGTTCTGATTGGTCAAAAAAGAATACAGTCAATAGAAAACACTGTTCTGATTGGTCAAAAAAGAATCAATACAATAGAAAACACTGTTCTGATTGGTCAAAAAAGAATCAATACAGGACCTTATGTATTACATGTCAAGCTATAACATTTTGTATAATTTCACTACAGTGAAGATATCAGTATTTATTAAATTGATTATTCCTGAAATCTCACTATAAAAAATTATAGAAGATACATCAATATTATTATTAGACTCTTTCATGACCAAGGGTGCAGGATAAGGAAATTCCAACAGAGGGGTTTTCAAATTTGGTAACTGAGGATCTGCTGAGGGTTTTACCAAATTTGAAAATCCTGAGGGTGGAATTTCCCTATCCTACACCCTTGGGAATGAAAGAGTTCTTTTCTCTCATTCCAAATACCAGAATAAGCTCAGTAATCATGAAAATACATTTGGATTCACCAGGCTACCATTTTGAAAATATCAATTTTCCCTTGAGTTTTTTGGATGAAAACGTATCAGATTAATTAAGCATATTCCATATTTGCAAACTATCTCATCTTTCTAACGTGTACAGTAAATATATCGTAAAAGGTTTTAATTTCATCACCTTTTCCGCATTACGGCATCAGAGTCTTTCCAAATATGTGACGTCACATTGCTGTGAAATGGGGTGGAAGATAGAAATGTCTTACACCCCTTTCTTACCCTTGACAGCACTATCTTACACACAAGGAAATGAGATATATATACAGTTTATCTATAAACTTGTACTTACTGATTGTCCTCATTCCCCAGCCCCAATCGTCCATCACCACCACAACCCCAGGAAAATATTTCACCATCACTCCCAACAACTACGACATGTTTGGGTCCACAGGCCACTGATATCACATCAACACTGTAAATAAAACACACATAAGTATCACCAACAGTGAAATAATGCCGAAAAATCATGCATTTGCGACGAAGGCAAAGATATTTTTCTCTTTTTTTATATATGCTTTTGACAAATTAAGATTATTCTGTGATAAAAACAATATTTCATTAGTTCAGTTTGATTGTTTTTTCTTTTTTTATTATTTACAAAAGCCCTTGGTCATAAGATTTCCCAACTTTGGAAATTTACCAAAACATGTCCCAATTCCATAATTTTACAAAAATCCCCACTATCAATGAGAAGCGTTTGATGGGATTTAATTAAATGCCCATCATTCAAGGTCATACAGGGTCATATATAGGGGTGTGAAAAGAAAACATTGAACAGGACTATTCCGTCTTTGCGTATTGCAGAGTTATCTTCTCTTATGAGCAGGTATTGATTGTTACGTCATTTGTTTGTGAGAGTAACGTCATCAATTTTTGAGAAAACGACGTAATTTCCCCACACAAACCAATGACGTAACAATCAATCCCTGCTCACAAGAGAAGATAACTCTGCAATACGCAAAGACGGAATAGTCATATATTGTAGTGCGAAATTGTCTCTGTAAAGTAAAACATTTCAATAATTCCAATTACCGTAAATATTCTCGTAAAGTGCACACTTTTTTAGGGAAAACTTATTAAACCAAGAAAGGGGTGCACATTTTACATGGAAAAAATCCAAATCCAGTCCTGGGTCACAACCATTTATCGTAAATTCTTCATGGATTTTCAGAAATATTTAGAAAAATACTTATGTGGCCTACTTTCATGGTCCATTAGCTTTGTCAGCATCTCCATCAACATTAAGTTTTTGTGTTTAAGTTAGTTTCTCTGAAAGTATAAGTGCTACACCAACCAAACTTGGACCATAGATGCATCTAAGGTAGTACATCTCAACCCAAAAACTTATAAAATTTGGTATAATAATTCCTGATTGTTTTTATTTAGCTATTTTAGAAGTACAAAAAGTTGAAATTTAAAGTCATATTACACGATAAAATCAGATGAATAAACTGATGTAGTACAGAAGGCCTACATAAAACTTTTACGTCTCTTCAGCGTTATAATTACAATCAATAAAAGATAGTGATGGGGAAGATATCTCCACGAATAGCATGGTAGTTTGGCACGGACAAACCTGAGTAGGGACTCGATGAGGCGTGGTCTGTATGTAGACGTCCAGTCCCCGTGTCCGAGACACCCCTTTGTCCCGTCCCCACAGGTCAGAATGATCCCATTGTCACTGGCAAATATGCTGAATCCAGCTCCACAGGAACCTCTGTAGTCACAGAAACACATTTATTAAAAATGTAACTGCTATCAAATCAAAATTGCATTCTTCGGAAAATATAATAACACAATAGACACTCTTTGCATGTCAAAATAACGCCTGTTTGCGCCCCCCGACCTATGACTGGGATTGATATGCCTGACTTGGTTCCATTATCATTGACATTGATTTCCCCACCTTGGCCCAATACAATTTTTATAAATATCAATGAAATACTTGGACTTTCTTACTTTAAAAGCAATTTCCCTATAATTGGACCCCATGCATTTTTCTGACAAAGTCCCCGTTTGTCCCTCATTACCTAACACACTGATTTCCGAGAAAATTATCAAGGTTTGAGATTGATAACTGCCTAATTAAATCAAACTTCTTGTTACTGTCTTTTAACTTTGACATAAGTTTCCAAAATTGTGTCCAAATAATTTATAAAATTCATAAAAAAATAAAATCCCCCAATGTACCCCTTTACCTTGTTATTGATTTCCCCGTAAGGGCCTCCACCAATGTAGGTTTTGTTAGTGACTCAGTATTGCCATGACCCAGTTGACCTTTGCCCCCTTCGCCCCACGTAAACACCTGTCTCTCCGTGGTGACAACTATCACATGGTCTTCACCAGCTGCTGCCTAGAATGAAAGTTCAGAAGTATTTTCACAGTTTCAGGATAATTCTTCACTTTCATTTCAATGAATTAATGTCATATTTTGACAAATTTCTCTTCCTCTCTGCTTATATAAAGATGTCTTATTATGAGAGTTTTTATACACTGTACTGTTAGATAAAAGCCTACCTCATCATAATTTTCTTCAACTATACAACAGTAAATTCAGAGTTTTATTTGTCCAGATAGATCAATATTTTAACCTGCAAAGTTACACACCTTTCTGAGAACACTTACGGAATGCTCTACCAACTTAAATACCAATTAGAAATATCGACTCAGGTTTCAAAATTTTAGAAATCAAATTTGTTATAGGTCATTGTATCATTTTTAATGGTTGACTTTAAGGTCAAATTTTAAAGTCAAAGGTCAAGGTTCATACTTACAATGTAATATACATTTATGTATATATCAATGTCAAAGGTGAAAGTTCATTTTTACAGTCTTTATATGCACGTGTCAATGTCAAAGGTCGTTATTAAGATAGAGTTACAATGATAAAATGTCAATGGTCAAAGTTCATTATTACACAAATTCAAGACTAATGTGTCGATGTCAAAGGTCAAAGGTTCATTATTACAATACCTGTCAATGACATAGGTAAAGCCTTGTCATCATAATATTTACATATCAATGTCAAAGTTCAAAGTTCATTATAACAATACTTACCCCTATCAATGTCAAAGGTCAAGGTTCATACTTACATGTCTAATTTTGATTTTAGGAGGAAGTTCTATTGGAGTGATAGAGGCAGAGGAACTCTCAAAGTAGAAAAACAGTGATCTGGAATCAAAATTAATGACAGAGATTTTACCGGGAATCCTGTGATACAGAGCAATATAATGCATTTAGATAATTGCATGTCCAAACACTAATCAATTTAGATATCGCACATTTTACACTTTAAACTTCATTTCTTTTTCAGAAATATTGCACCTCTGTCATCTCCTGGAATAATGATAACTAAATAATACAAGGATTTTAAAATTAACCAAATTACAATTATATTCATTACAAAACAATTCAATCTATATATAATTTCCATAAATGTTTTATACACTTTGCTTGATAGGTTGATACAAGTATATTGTATAGCCCAGTAACATGGGCCCAATAATACAAAAAAAAAAACATATTTATTTTTAAATAGGGGCTAACACATTATCTATGATTCAACATACTAGCAGTAACAGCCTGTTCCTACATAAACTGGGAAAACATAGCATTATTTTTACTGAAATTGGGAAGATATTCCTGATTTTTTTTTCGTTTTGGGAAAATAAAGCATCTTTTAATTATATGGGAAGTAGCCTGTATTCGGCTGTAAAACCTGTGAGGCAAAATGAAAAAAATCAATATCTAGGTAGAGGCTTAAAACAGGAAAATGAAATAGCATCTGTAGTCGACGTTTCTTCTTAACCCTTTCACTACTGTAGACCATAATGGATTCCTCCATATCAATGCATTGAAGAGTCTACTCAAGTTATATAGGGGTGAAAGGGTTAACTGGTTGGGCTTATTAATAAACAACGGCTTATTGTAGGATAAATAAAATATTTATTCTTGAATTTGTTTAAGTATTGCACATGTGAGAACTATATATGCTTTCTGTTTCGGACAACAGGAATAGACTCAAAATATAGAAATACTTGTACTTGTAATTTCTTAAGTATTAATAATATCATAACATGTAGAGTTCAAACAAATTTTTGGTATAATTAAAGTATATTAAGATACATGTATTGCAAAATTCCAGCTGTAACATGGGTAATGGTATTTGCAAAAATTGAAATGCCAATTGAAGACTTCTGAAACAGCACGGTGAATAAACATGCAAATTTAGGATTAATGTGATGGGGAAGAGGTTCCCACGATTTCATCAGAACTGGTGCAGCACTTGTAATAGTCGGACCAACAATGTGTGTACGGACAGACTCTATATCATATCACAGACAAACAATCTGATTCCAGTTATCTGCCCTTACCTTGCTATAATTAGTAATGATTTTTTTTTTGTAATTTAGAATAATTATTTTTATTATACAGATATGTAGAGGAACTGGACTGGATTGATCGTCAGCGACCAAGTAACTCAATTGGTATAGCGCCTGTCTAGAGTTTGGGGGTACTGGGTTTGAACCCCGGTCAGGCCATTGCATTCTTTCTCCTGTTACAAAACTGGTGAGCTTGCCAACCCTTGTTTCAAGCACAGGGTGAATGCTTAGTGATGATTGGGTATACGGTATCCAAACCTAAATTGTAAGTTGTTGTGTTTTAGGGGCGAAGACTTTTAGGAAAAAGATAGGAGGAATGTAGCGGAACTGGACTGAGTCAATCGTCAGCGACCAAGTAGCTCCATTGGCAGAGCGTCCGTCTAGAGTTCGGAGGGTCCCGAGTTGGAACCCTGGACTGGCTGTTGCATCTCTCTTTTTCCTTTTGCAGATACAAGAACTACCCAGATTTCAAAACCATTGCCAAGGTGTAAGCTTCCACGATAAGTTTAAAAGAGTGGCTGCTTGAACATTCCCACATTTACACCCTCTGTCCGACACTCCAATGTTTTAAAGTAAATGGTAATGTAATCGATCATTGGAAATGTTGGTGCATTCATATCACTCTATGGCTACAAAGGGATTTATATGGTAAGTGCAATGGGAATGCAAATATATAATGATTGCATATAAACAAACATTCAGGTTATTTATGATGTGTTCGTGTACGGGTACAAGCAGACAACATCAATATTTCTGGTAAAACCAAATACACAATAAGAATTCTCTTGTGTCAAAAATAACGAAACGAACCAAGCAGGCATTGTAATACTATACATCTTATTGTGAATCTCTGTGAAATATTTAATGTGGCCATTTCTACCAGAATCATAATCCGTAAATCTCACAAAAATAGTAATTCTTCATATTTTTTAAAGGTAGACAATCACAGTGCTCTATGTTTTATCTCCAAAAAAGAAGAGTTCCAATTTGTCAATAATTTTTCTGACTTGTGTTGCTTGCTCAATTTCCATAACAAAACATTATTTATGAAAGAAATACATTTATTATAATTTCCTTTTTTCACAATATCTCCGAATCGGGAATTTGATCTCTGAACCTCTTGATTATACATCAGGAAGCTTATTGTAGTCTGTATGTTTCCTATGTTATAGTTTTTTCTGCAACATTACGGGGAATAAAGGCCTGCCATATTGTCATTGTACAGTAAAACGTTGATGCAATTCCCCTCGTTTCATGCAAAGAAACTTCAAGGTGCCTTTTTCTCTTCTTCTTGTTAGAACTGATTTATATGTTTCCCTCCCTCAATTTATCGGCAACCTCTTTAAAACGCCAAATATTATCTGGACAAATGGCGGCAGTATAACAAGGTATTTATTGTAAGTTTAAAAAATAAAACCTCTTTTAATCTGACACCTTACTTAATGCCAACATATTTCAAGGAAGGTATTTTTTTCTCTTCTTCTAAAGAATTAATTCATATGTTTCCCCTCAATTCATCGACAAACCTCTTTATAATGCCAAATTTTCTCTGGACAAATGATGGCAGTATAACAAAGTGTTACTGTATGATTCGAATATAAAGACAATAACATAAATAAACTTTTATTTCGGGGGGGGGGGGGGAATTTTTAAAAAAAAAAAAATTTTTTTTTGGGGGGGGGGGGGGGGAATTCTTAAATAAAATATAATTTATGTGCCAAAATAAATGAAAAGACTACATTTATATATACATATAAATCCTGCTGTGCAGTCACTGTACCTTTTCTCAACAGCAGAACTGTAACCAAGCAAGTTTGTACAATTTTTAAACATTTACTTCCTAAAATTAATTAATATGTTCAAGCTCCTGTGAACTCTAGGAAGGAAAAAGGCCTGACAAAGTATTTGTGCAGTGTAACAGGCCCCTAAAACGGTCTACTCCTTTTTTCTACCCTATCTGTTTCTTCTCTGAACTGGCCATGGACTCCAGTGGTTTTTTATCCCGCCGGATCATTCACTGTGTAGTGACCCATGGCCATGAACAACTAAGCTTGTTGAATCAATGAGAAGTTAAACCATGAAAACTTTTAACCCTCCTACTTTAAAACGATTGTTATTATTTATTACTAGGCATGCATTTTGTCACGTACGATGCATCATGGTGGTACATGCTCTTTCATATTGATCAAAATGAGCCCTGAGGCCTATTCATCTATGCGGAACAACCGGTTTGTGTGTATTTGAATGTAACATTTTTTAGTATAAATCCTGGCGGACCTGCAAATGTTTATGCAGACCTTGCAAGGCTTGGTCAAGGCTCGCCTGAAAGCTAGCATCGTATTACTGGGTCCGACCTCATTTCATAAACGAACAACTCTGGTCCAACCGGTTCAACCGTTTGGATCGCGATAAACAAAAGCGGCCCTGTTGACACACTACTGGTAATGGTGGCTATGAAGGCCAAAGAGTAAACGTAATGAACAATGAGTTATTAACAATTAACGGTATATCATATATGCAAAAGACTTTTCTGACATATGAAAAAGATAATACAGGATGTTTGTATAAGATTTACGTCACAACTAAGAATTTTCCCTATAACTCATTCACCCCTGAAATTTCATAAATTTCAAATGTGTCTTCAGGAGTGAATGGGTTGATAGCGAGCCCCTGGCAGTGCCCTGGTATTTTCCAGGGATAGTAACTTGTACAGCTCAGAAGAAAGTTAGTGACTAATCTACTTCATTATTTTACCTGGTTTTCTTCTTAGTTTTGGCGTTACTTTCGTGAGAATGGAGCAGATCATCGTCACAGTCTGTTGTAGGATCCTCAAAGGAATTCATCAACTACAAAAACACAGAAGACTTAAGGCTACATGCTACCTTAATTGTGACATGTACCTTCTTTACTGAAGAGTTCTGACCTTCTTAACAAAAGGGTTCAACCCTGGAATCTTAAGCAGTATCTTTTATGACTTGTAATTAACCCTTTCACCCCTATGTAACTTTAGTAGACTCTACCATGCATCGATATGGATGAGTCCATCAGGGTCTACAGTGGTGAAAGGGTTAATGAAGAATATTTTTGTTAAGTCCTAAGTGTTTGAAATTATCATCCATGGTTATAGGGCCTTTGCAACTAGCCAATATCTTTCTCAACTCCCTGGGGAGCATACAGCCGGTGCTGCCATTTCGGCGCTCACAGCTAGCATTCAACAATTCTAGCACTGCCCAACCATGTACCCATTTACAGCTGAATAGACTGGAACAAGCGGAGTAAAGTCTCTTGCTCAAAGATACAACACAGTGCCGTGACTCAAACCCGCAACCCTTCGGTCACGAGCCGGGCGTCCTACCACTAGACTATTGTGCCTCCTTAAAATACATTATTATAAATGATAGTCAGACTTAGTTGACCAACATTAAGCATTTATACCTCTGGGAGTCTTGTGTACATAAGTTCGTGAGCAGATGGTCGCGGCCCCGGATCTTGTCGTAACATATCCATGATGAGTTCCTTGAATCCAGCACTATAAATATCCTTGACTGGAGCGAACTGACCCTGTAATTATTTATATTGAAATCAAAACGTTGAGTTAACCTTTCCAGAACTGCCTGTGTTATAAGTACATTTCCACATTGCAGCCTTTTTTCTTGTAATTAAAATCATACAGATTAATTTCTTTATTTTTTCTTCAAATTATTGTTTTTTTTATCTCCATACATCTTTTTTGACTAAGGAATTTATTTTGAAATGATTTTATTTTGTATAAATTTAACTTTTTATCATATAGTTGATATTTGCAATGATGTACTGACATTTGAAGCAATACAATCAATGACAAGGCTGCTATAGTCAATCAAAGATAAAAATTACATCTGTCATGATTTATTCTATGAAATTCTTTCTTGGAATAGTCCTTGCAAAAAAATTTTTGGCATTTTTTTACTAAATTCGGCGAACTGTATTATCCTGCAATATGCCCAGAGATGCAACATACAATCTTTCACTCAAAGTAGGGGCGGGTTTATTTCAGGAAAATGAATTATCATTTTTTTTGCAATTTTGACTAATTTTTAAACTGCAATATATTGGTGGGCTTATCACCAGGCACGAGCTTATTGCTGGGTATATAAACGATCAACAAAAGCTCATTCTCTGCTGAAAATATCATATTTGTTTCACTTGAATGATATTGTTACCTAACAATCATCATTTAGAATATTTCTACTCTTTATTTACTTATGAAACAAGGCAAAGTATTGCCAGGCAATCCATAGTCCCCCGTTGATAACATTTTCTTTATTTACTTAAGAAACAAGGCAAAGTATTGCCAGGCAATCCATAGTCCCCCATTAATAACATTTTCTTTATTTACCCAGCAGTGCTTCTATCTCAGGATACAGATCACAGTGACCTACTTTATGTACATAACATTCCGCCATCCCAAGATGTATTTAAATACCAAATCTATTAAGAAGATTTGGGACGGACTGAAGGACACACTCTTTGTACATAACATTCTACCATCCCAAGATGTACTTGTTACTCCAGGTAAAGTTTAGAAGATTTGCCCTTGGACAAACTTTTGGGACGGACTGAAGGACAGACGTACGTACGTAGTGTAAACTTATTATAATTCCCCACCAGGAACTAGTGGGGACAAAAAATACATGAACAAGCCTCACAAACCTTCATGATTTTGTTGACCAGAGCGGGTAGGTTGGAGCCTTCAAATGTTTTCTGTAGACAGGCCATCTCATACAGGATACAGCCCAACGCCCAAATATCTGATTTGTCGTTGTATGGCTTGCCCTCACACTGAAATGTCAAGGGTCAATGTTCATCAGATTAAACAAAGGTCAGAAGTTAAGGTTCATCAAATAAAACAGAAATCATTTTCAAGAGTTCAGCAAATAAAATATCAAGTTCAAAACTCATGCTTTATGAAATACAACACAGTCATGGAAGGATCAGATCTAACCAAACAATACAAAGGTCAAGGGTCAGAGTTCATGAAATAAAACAAAGGTCAAGAGTTAGGGGTCATTAAATAAAATTGAAAGTTAGAATTTAAAGTTTTCAAAATGGTGAGAAAACTGTTAAGACACATACAGTAATGGAAACAAATGGAAGGAAATTTCAACATAAGATTATAAAGCTGTACCATCTCTGGACTTATGTAGTAAGGTGTTCCCAGGACAGTGTTAGCTCCCTTGTTAGCGGAACTCATCATTTTGGAGATACCAAAGTCACCCACTTTCACCACGCCTTCCTTGGTGAGGAAGATGTTTGCCGTCTTCAGGTCGCGATGTAACACGTTGTGTTCGTGGATATGTCTGATGGCGGCCACGATCTGTTGGAACATGGTCAGGATAGTTTTCTCCTCCAGTGGTTTGTCCTGCTGAGCGAGGAACTGGGCTAGAGTCCTGTGGATTAATTGATTAATTAGTCTGACTGACTGTCTGACTGATTAATTGTCGGACTCTCCAACTTGCTGACTAACTGACTAAGATGAGAGGAAAAATATGGTCTCAAAGATCAGGGCCTATGCAACTTGTGTCATGCTTCTGACAAGTACAATTTACCACCAAGTAGTAGGAACAAAATCAGATCAATGATGGAACAGAGGCCGGTCGGATGGTGCAGTGGATAGTGCACTTGCCTTTCACCAAGGCGGCCAGGAATCTATTCCCTGATCGGACGTGAAAAGGTATGGGGTCACCTACCCGATCATGTGGGTTTTCACCGGGTAATTCGGTTTCCTTCCATAATAAGACACACACACACACCCCACCATGCACTAACATCCAGGCCAACAAGGGTGATTTAAAATATAAGTTGTAAAAACTTTTTTCAAAATTGTTGTAAAATAAATCAAGTTTATACTTATACGGAACAGGAGCTCTAGCTCAAAAAAAGTCCCAATCATAAACTATCTGAGCACATGTCATTAATATAATGGCTGCCATCCCTAAGTATTAACCCCAACTTACCCTCCATCTTTAAGTAATAACCCACACTTTCCCTCCATCCCTAAGTAATAACCCACACCTACCCTCCATCCCTAAGTAATAACCCACACCTACCCTCCATCCCTAAGTAATAACCCACACCTACCCTCCATCCCTAAGTAATAACCCACACCTACCCTCCATCCCTAAGTAATAACCCACACCTACCCTCCATCCCTAAGTAATAACCCACACCTACCCTCCATCCCTAAGTAATAACCCACACCTACCCTCCATCCCTAAGTAATAACCCACACCTACCCTCCATCCCTAAGTAATAACCCACACCTACCCTCCATCCCTAAGTAATAACCCACACCTACCCTCCATCCCTAAGTAATAACCCACACCTACCCTCCATCCCTAAGTAATAACCCACACCTACCCTCCATCCCTAAGTAATAACCCACACCTACCCTCCATCCCTAAGTAATAACCCACACCTACCCTCCATCTCTAAGCAATAACCCACACTTACCCTCCATCCGCATACTCTATCTCTATCATAAGAACACCGTCTTCTTCAAAACTGTCATAGTAACTGATGATGTTGGGATGGTCCAAGAAGGCAAGAATGTTTACCTACAACATGCACAGAAGTTTTTTTCTATACTGATGACCATTTGAATCCCAATAAACTAAAGCGGCGTTGGTAACCAAAGAGGTAAGAATTCTTCACATTTCGTTTAAACAAAGAATACTCTTAAAGGCACATGTTGCCTTGAACTTAGAAATACTTTTAAAGGCACATATCCCCTTAAACGAAGAAACATAATTCAAAACTAAAAAAATATAGAATATTTTACTTTCTTATCCATATTGTTTGTTGATATTGCTAATTATATTTCAACAGTCTTAATGTAATCTTAGCTGCTTTGAGTTTGTTAACCCTTTCACCACTGTAGACCATAATGGACTCATCCATATCAATGCATGTTACAGTCTACTGAAGTTACATAGGGGTGAAAAGGTTAAACCTTGATCCCTGCTATTTATCAAGAAAGTACAATACAAAACAGTACCTCGTTAAGGGCAAGTTGTCTTTCAGCGGCGTTGAGGTCATGCATATTTATCTCCTTTAGAATAACCAACGACTCGTCGTCCTTCTTCTTATACAGCACTGCAACACCATATGCACCTAAAAGGGGAGACAACCAGGTAAAGACAAGAACAGGGGAGACAACCAGAAACAAACAGTTTTGTACCGCAGCATAGCTGTCAACCCTCCCTCATTAAGAGGGAGACTCCCTCATTTTGACCAAAATTTATCAATCTCCCTCGAAACTCCCTCATTCAAGTCCAAACTAACACAAACTCAAAAGCTACATCCTATGGTCAGATGATCTTCTAGTTACAGTAGAGTGTGTGTAATGATCATAACAGTAGTGTCTGAATTTAAATGAATGCTTTTTTGAGTTATTTTGATACATAAAAAGTGAAAGTTTAGTTAAGTAAAGCAGTTTCTGTCATGTTTCATGCACTTTCTCCCTCATTGGAAATGTGGAATAAGGTTTACACCTATGCCGCAGGCGAAAAAGGCGAAAATTGAACAGCACCGGAAATTTCCCCATATATTATTTTGCTGAGATTACCTTTGCCAACAGTCTGTATTTTCTCAAACCCAGCCAGAGACTGCTGCTGTTGTCCGCTCCAGCCACGAAGTTTCTCCACCTTGAAGTAAAACTCTCCCACACAGCTGTAACAGGTAAAATAGACATTCTCCAGACAAAGTTTGTTAACAACGTCTTTCATTGTAAAATCACTCTCAGACAAAGGCCCTACATCAGTCGGTTATGAAGACTAGAACTGTCATCAGGAGGATCAGACAAAGGCCCTACATCAGTCGGTTATGAAGACTAGAACTGTCATCAGGAGGATAACTAATACCACTGCAGATGCTGATAGTTTACTGGAATGGAAACTCGTTCCAGGTATTTTGGCTCTTTACATATAGGTGAAGCTTCATCAATACAAAGTTTAAGTCGATAGAGCGAGTTTTCCGGACAAATTATTTCGCATAAAGGACCGTTGCTCCCTTAAAAAGTGTTGAAATCTGAAATTTAAATGCTGGTGCACAACTACATAATATACTGATCATTCAAGTGAAGTTTCAATAAAATCTGCCTGTTAGTTAAGATGGAGTTTTCCGGACAAATTACTGCAGACGACAGACATCCAGACAGATAGACAGGGTGATTCCCCAGTATCACACACACACACACACACACCCTAACTTTGTTGTGGGGGTATAATAAGCAACCAAGGAATGAAGTCATACAACTCACGTGACTTTGGCATCAGTACTTTTTGCTAGAGTATTGTTATGGTCAGCTCCGACTAAATCTCTGGACATTGTCACAGGATGCTGGAAACACAAGAAATGATTTATATCCAATCATGATCTATTTTACAGTACAGACAAATTCATATATCTGCCAAAGGGAGAATAAATATCTTAATTCACATGGAATCCATATAGACAATCTGTAACAGGTGTATTATATTAATTTAAAACACCAATTTGAAGTATTTTTATGTAAGACAGTATTTAAAGGCAAGTTATTTTCATATAGAAAAATATTCATTGTTTTAGAGTATTGTTATTGGCAGGTAACAATAAACTCGACCATCTGGTAATAGACAAATGGTCTTTCAGGCAAGGGATCTTTATAAACAAGTTGTTTCAATAGTTTGTAAACACCATTTTGGAGAATTCTAAAACAGTAGGCGTGATTTTTTTAGTTATTGACCTATTCTTTCATAGACAGGTGATCTTTATAGACAGGTGTTTTTTTCTGAATCAATGACAAAAGAAGATTTTATTGTTAATCTATAAACAAAACAAGAAATTGGGCTTTAGCACAAAATCTGTACTTGAGAATGAATACAGGCCCAGGAGTCACATCTGCTCTAACGAGCACACAGTTTCAAACCAGTAATGCCTCATACTTGTTGAGATTTCCCTGTGTCACCATCACACTGGGGTCATCAAGTTTATTTCTCATACCTGAATGAGTGTTTCAATCTCCTTGGTGATAGTTGATGAGTCGCCATGTTGGACAGCATTGCAGGCCAACAGGTCCAATCGCAGCTCATCTGTCGTCTTGTCTAGGTGGTCACCGACTAGGTTTGTAAAGAAGTCTCTGATTGGCTGAGATTCTGATATGGTCTCCTTGGTTATTACCTGTTATAAATAAAACACTCTTGGTGAATCTAAAATATAGATGAGCGAAAAAATTATATATTTTGATGGATGTGCTTAACATAGAATATTAAAGCCTAGTAATTACCAGAATGGTTGTGTTTAATAACCAGCAATTACAAAGGAGACAGATGTAAACCAACCAAAGTTTTCCTTTGTCTTTCAAAAAGGAAAAGTTACTCATTACTGATGGTCTAGTGCTAAGGAGACTTACCTTTACTGATTATCTAGTGCTAAGGAGACTTACCTTTACTGATTATCAAGTGTTAAGGAGACTTACCTTTTCGTCTTTACCAGATACGTGGATGGATGATCCGACACAGCTCAGAATTAGTGCTATACTACTGACCTTTCTCGAGTTCAAGGTCGTCGTCACCAGATCTGTCAAAAGTACCATTTTATAGTACACACTCATTCTTAGCCGAGTTGAAATGATAGTTACATATACCCTGTTCATTTTTAAGGTCCTAGTCTCCTATCGATTTACTTGAAAAAAGCTATAACCTAACCTACAGCTATTTTTTTCTTCCGAAACGTTCTGCAAGCATTGCAATTTGCTGAAATTGGAAAAGTTTGAAGGCTCTTGATTTGTTGAATATTATTCATTGCACTCTTCTTAACTATAATTCCCCGACAAATAACGACTTTTTTATCTTTAATATTTGAATGATTGAGTTTTGGACATGAATAAACTTTCTATTTACTTAAAACTCCATTCTTTAAAATCTATTTGCCCGTCCAACCCTGTCTTGTAAATTCCATGATCTATCTCGATTCCAAACATATACACTCGCTGAAGATTAAGAAATACCTATTGAACAAGTCAGATGGGTTGTTTTTTTAAATAGGGCTGCAATGATACGCATTACCTCACAGTACGGTATGATACGTATGTTACCTACAATACAATATGTATCACGATACACAGATCTGCTCAAGATGTCAACTTCATAATGAATGAGTGCAGGATTTATCGAGTTTTGTTATCTATAGACTTAATTACATATTTATAGTAAATACTGTCAAAATCTATTTTTGTATGATTGTTTTGCACAAAGGGCCACGTCTTGACCAAAACATTTAATAAACTCATAAAGTGTAATAAAATAAAAAGATTGATAATTTCAGTATCCCTATTGTATCGCCATACAGGCAAACAAAACAATTCAAAACGAAACATGAGAAAGTATCCAAATACTATATGGTGCGACTGGCTGTAATTATTACCAAGAATTTAACAAACAATGATTCAAAACGATACATAAGAAAATATCACGATTATGATATGGTGTAATTATCACCAAGAATTTAACTGATTTCACTATTATAATGAATAATTTTCTCAATTTTGTTAAGAAATGGTTATAACAATGTGAAGCTTTCTTATTTTTTATGTTTCCAAGATTCATTTGAACAATTGCACTCACAATAATGAACTTACTAAGAATTCCTTCCAAGGACGCTGAATCAAACTTGTATTGTACGAAAATCACATTTGGCAGAATAGCGTGTCGCAAAGCCATGCTATTGCGAATCTTGCTAGAGACGACCATCAATCTTGGGGGTTCTTCCGTCTTCACAGAGTTACCCGCCCCTGTCTCTCCAACCGTCACAGCCTCGTCTTGATAACAGATCACTACTTCTTCCTCCGTACTCTCTAAATCTCGACTTCCGCCTTTTATACTCTGCAAACCAGAAGTATAACAAATCTACATGTACATGTAGTAATCAAAACATTTTAGTACAAATATAATAGTTTTAAAGGGCCTGTTTCCAGTAATGTTAATTCTCCATAGGAGCCTGCCCCCGTATAATTTCTTTTCTAGCTCAACTACTGTTTTTTTCTTTTCCGAAGAATAATTTTACACCTTTCCGACACCCAGATTTCATAATTTCAGTGAAAATGTATTTTTATAAAGTTGTCAATTTCAGCATCAAAGACATAAGTTCGTAAATAAAAGAAGGTTATCTCGAAATTGTAATTCGCAACATAGTATAAATTTCTTTTGATAAATATTTCCAAAACATCGTGTTTATTCATAAAACATAA